ATCCCTACAAAACTGTATAAGTATCATTCTTTATTAAGATCCATAAGAACTAATATCTATTCTTGAGATTTTCTTTTCTCAGCACCATTCCCAGTAATCACAAGATGGCTCCTGCACCGCATCAGCTGATAATCATCCCTGCTTACCAGAACCGCTTTCCCCAAACTGCATTCCATGGAGACCCACCTAGGATTGCGGAACTACACTAGACCCACCCTTAATCCACCCCTAAATAGAAACTGCACTAGACCCACCCTTAATCAAACCCTAAATTGCACTAGACCCACCCTTAATCCAACCCTAAATAGAATCTATGTTCGTTATTGTTAAAAACTTTATGAGCTGTTAATTAAAACACTAGCCCCTCTCCCATTTACTTATAATACATTTTCAATAAAAAGGCACAATAATTCCTAGCAGTTGTCACTCCTCAGAGGGCCACCTCTGAGGGGTGTCCGGCATAGGACATGCATAAACAGGCATCGAGGCCTCTGTCTTCTGTTCACCTTCGCTGCCTTCGTCGAGATAACCCACCCACGCCGAGGCAGAACTAAACATCTACCTACGCTAGTGAAGGGGACGGACTCTGGAGAGCACAGCTGACTCGGAGAATGCGTGTGGACCCGTGCACGGTCACTGGGGGTGCTGTCTCAGTGCCTTGTCACCGCGTGTCGCACTGCGCCCCCTTCTCTCAGTCCCCCAGCCCCGACACATCCCACCGTGCACAGCAGGGAAGGTGGGTCACGGGGCACACGCCCCCTCCAAGGCTCACGTCCCCCCACAGGCATGCCTCCCAGGGGAGACGCCCCTCGGCCTCGCCCCCCCTCGCCCCGAGCTCACCTCCAGCCTCTCCTCCAGGTAATCGCGGACGTCTCTCATGTGGGCCTCGTAAGCCTCACAGTTCTGGGTCACCAGCTCAGCGGCCTGCGGACACACAGGATTTGATTCTGGTTAGGACAGGAGGCAGGGCAGGGAGCCTTAGCCCCACAGCCGGCAGTGCCCGAGGCAGGAAGGGTGTTCCTCCGCTCCTTCCAGATCCGAGAACGCAGCAGACCTCCGGCTGAGAGCCGCCCTGGTCACCGTTATCTGAACTTAGATCAGGGCTTCCTGACGGCTCCAGACACTGCAGATAGCACAGCAAAGCAGCCGGGCGGGATCCCAGCCCTCGGGGAGCTGATTCCCAGCGCGACCGAGGGACAGCACAGGCCCTTCTGTGCTGTGAAGGAGCCATACTCGGTGAGGTGTGGCCGGTGAGGCCACTGTGGTCAATGGCCTGCAGAGGGACAGCCCATGGGGCACAGGGCACAGACACAGGGACGTCCACAGGGTTGGACGTGGGGATGGGATGGCTGGAGGCCAAGATGCGAATGGCAGGAGGGAGACAGACAGACCGACAGGGCTGGAGGCTGCATTAGATGCTGGGGGCAGGACAAGGAGGGACGAAGGCACCCCTTGATCTCTGAAGTGAGAACCTGGTTGGTGGGAGACACCTCAAGGTGAGGGTCAGCAGGAGGAGAGTGACCAGGACCTGAGGAAATGTCCACAAGCAGCCAGGGATGCGGGGCCCTCAGGAGGAAGGTCAGGCCTGTGTGACATCGGACTCAGACGTGAGCAGGGGCCGGTGTGACAGCTGCCGACTACACCACCAGCCAGCCGGGGGGGGGGG